GCAATTAGAAGAATAAAGGAGGTTATTTGAAGAGGAGAGGGAAAAAAGGGAGAAAGATGTGGAAAGGTTTCAAGAGTTATATTCAGTATGTGCTTTACTTGAGATTTTAGTGTTTTATCGAAAATATATGATATATATTGTGCTTATTTTTGTTCTAACTGAATATTATGATGTAAAGATTAAGTGAAAACCTCAAACAACATACACATGAAGATCAAAGTTATGTTGATGGTGATGATGATGATGATCATGATCAAACTCCAAGTAGAAGTGTTGTATATCGTGCTTCTACAAAAAGAAGTAATTGTTCAGACCCCCCCCCCCCTCCTCCAGCTAACCGTAATGAGTTATTGGACCCTAACTCAAATGAAATCACCACGTTATACTTGAACGTTGCGGTGATAAATAATGCACAAACTCTCCCGCAAGAATATTGTCCAGATGTGAATTTATTCTATTACAATCCTGAAGATGTAAGAGATTTTCTCGGTTGATATAAGTGTATGGACGTAGGGATATTGCAAGTTTGGTGTACGTAAGTATATAGATGAATATACATGTCATTATAAAACATTATCATTTTTTATGTTTCCTCAATTAATTTATTCATTTTCTTTAACCATTTAGGTACATTCACTGTGTTTGTATAGATTTGAATAAATCGAGTATTTATGAAATCTTGGATCCGCTTTTTATTTGATGGACGTATAATCAATCAAAAGGCATTCAAGATTACTTGAAAAAACGATTAAATGAGGGAGGAAAAGAATGTTACTTAACACCATTTCTCGGTTGGTACGTATTTTTGTAATTAATGTCTATGTATTCTATATTTAGTTTTGTTTTAGCAAATACTATAATAATATAGATACCCATGTTTATTTAGTGGTCATTATCAATTGATCATAATATCATTTAAGACGAATACGATAACTGTACTGTGTTCCTTGCATGGTCCACTCGAAAAGAAAATGAAATAGATTATTAATTCGTAAGTGTATATTTAATTCTTTTTCTTTGATATTATAAGTAGTTTAACATGTAATATGTATAATTCATATTCAATGTACAGTGTTGTAGAGCAAGTGAATATGATGAGAAATGTTAGAAGAAAGTCTTCATGGATCTCTCCTAAAGTAAGTGGCCTGATTACCTGTTTCTTTCATTTATGTTCATGTGTGGTTATATTCATGTATGGTTACATTCAGGTGTGGTTATATTTATTTGTAGACGAGAAAACAATCCGAGAAATATGAGTGTGGATATTATGTCATGAAACACACGTTAAACGTTGTTCTTTCCAGCATTATTGATTCATGGGATAAGGTATATATGTCATAATATGTTTACATATTTAAATATATAAGTTGACATATATTTTAAACACTTTTTTACTCTTTCTTATGTAGATGTTTAACGACGTAACCTCATTCTCTGTTGAGAACTTTGTCGATCTTCGTAAACGTTGGGCGTATATCCACAATGTGCTTAAGGGTCCTGCTATTTGATTTATTGAGATGTGCTAATGACTTATTTTTTGTATACGACGATGTGAATATTACTTTTGACTTAAACATATTGTGTTTGATGTAAATATTAATTTTGGATTTTGATGCACAATATTAGTTGTTTTTATGCTTTTTATGCATGGTTAACAAAAATACTAGTTGTTGTAAATTCCTTGATATGGTTATAATAGTTAAAGGATAAAAAATGAGAAGAATTTGAGAAGCAGGAAATTGTATATTTAAAATAGAGAAAGTTTTGACGGCAGTTATAAAACCTAACCATTGTATATTAAACGGTGACTGGACTAATATAAATTACAAAATGTTAATGCTCAGAATCAAACCTCAAACCTTTAATTCTACCACAACGGTTGGGTTAAAGAATCATTGTGACATAACACGCACTTTCTAAAATACAATAACAGTTCTAAGATCGTGATTGTAAGTACCATATATACAATCAAACGTTATATAAAAATGTCTGATCTCGCGTAATTATATATCTTTTTCAACTGTTATTAAATAAAAATTTTATAGTAGTGAATATCTATCTCAGTGAGGGATGAGACAAATTTAATTGTCTAATTATAAGATTTATGTGAGTGTGGATTTCATGACCAAATCTAAGATAAAAATGCAAATGCAGGGAATTATGAATGTAAGAATGAATTTTGAAAATATACGAGTTTAAATGCAAGAAAAGTGTGAGAATGAAATTTGAAAATAGACAAGTTTAACAAGAAAAGTGTGAGAGTACAGACGAATTGCAATAGATTAGGTATAAAATGATGTTGTGAGCTTGTGGAAACTCATGAATACTTTGTATCAATGAACATGTTGTAAAGGAAAGTCAGTTTTCCTTCAAGAAAAATGAGCATGGTTTTTAATTAAATAAGTAAAGTTCAATTTAAAAAGAAGTGCAAAGTAGTATAAAATAATAGAAAGAAAATACAATAAACAAAGCGCAAAATTCTTGCGATATGGTAGGTTCTAACGTTTTATAGGGCTATCAGAAAAACCTCTATTAATCCTTGTATGGCATGATTAAAACTTAAATAGAAACCCCTATATATTTGTCACGATTTGGAATTGATTTCAAACAGAAATACCTATATAAACATAAAAAGTTTATAAATCCAACACTTTTATTTCTTCTAGAGATTAATCGGCTGATCCAACTTATTTAAAAAGTATTGATGATAAAAAATGGTTCTCAACATTAGATTGTGTCACATAAAGTAGTAAGTCATCAATGTTAACTGAACATTGGACAAACACCCCGTGCGACGGTTTGCTATTAATTTGTTGTTAATCATTCGTAATATATATTGTATAATATTTTAATAATTAAATAAATATAATATATAATTTAATTGATAAAGTGAAATTAAATAATATTAATAAAACAATTTTTTTAAATGATCAGATGCTTTTAATATAACTAAACAAAATATTCAATGTGATATTGTTTTAAATACGTTTGTCAAATTATTCTGATAAAAATTTTAAAATTTAAAAGGAATTTGATTTTGTAGTTTAAATATTTGTTTTATTTTTATTAAAAACAAAAATTTATCCCATACTTTACTTATAATTTTAGTGACAATTTTATTTCACATATCTTTGTATTAACTTATAGAAAATGATTATGACATATTTTTTTATGAATGGATGGCAGATAAATATTTTGTATTTGTTGATATATTTATTAGTGACCTGATACATTTTTTGTATCAGTGATAAGTATTATTCTGTAATTTTTATATTAATCAGTATCTTTTATTTTTTATATATCAATAATGATAAATATTTTTTCTTTGATTTTTTTATACTTGTTAGTGACAAATATTTTTTTCTAACTTATTTATATGTCAATGATAAATATTTCTTTTCCATATTTTGTTTATAATTATTGATGATAAATATTTATCCTATTTTAATACCATAATTAAAATGTACTTGGTCAAAAATATATTCACTTTTATTGTATGGATCGAATGTAGAATATTTTTTTTTCGTGTAAATTGTTGTTAGAATAATCAAATTGATTAATAAATAATTCAAATAAGAATAAGTGAGTCAATAATAAAATTAATGTGTAAAAAATTAATTTGTAAATTATAACTATTCTCATTATTATTAATACATTTGCACAAATTTAATTTTGATTAAATTTTTAGATAGAGATATTTTTCAAAAATGTATGCTTTTATGATAAACTCAAAGAACTATATTACAATTATTTTTATTTTTATCTTGAAAATCTAAAAATACTAATTTTATCTAATTATCCTGTAGAGAAAATAAACATTTTTCTCACGTATTTGCCAAATACTTTTTTCATGACTCCTTTTTTAAAATGAAGTTAAGAATTTTGAAATGTAAAAAAATATTAATGATTGTACTATAATTACTTTATATATAAATTTAATTTAATTTTACAATGTAAGTTAATCCTAATCATTAAATTATTGCAATTATTTGACATCTTCTTTAATCACATTTAAATATCACCAAGGAATTATGATACATTCACCATGTAAAATATCTAACATATAAGAAAATAAGAAACTGGTTGCTCCACAATCAACCACGTGGCTTCATATAAGCAAAACTATCTGTTGTTCCAATTTTCCAATCTTTTTCCTAATTTTTGACGTGGTCATGACAGTTACAGATGAAAAAGCTACTCTTACTCTTTTCCATTATAATTTTCTACTATCAGTGGTTACAATAATCAATCATTGTTTCAAATACATTTCAACGCTTCAACCCTCAAATTATTCAAAACGGTTTTTCCTTCAAGCATCTTCCTTCTGTTGGCAAGATTGAAACTAAATACATTGTCTTCGTCTTTCTCTCTATCGCTTGCTTCTCTCCGTCACAGTGGTGAGATTGCCATCGTCGCCACCACCATCCTCTAATCAACACACTCTCAACACAAACTATGGCCAACTCTTTACCCTGATCACGAATCTAAGTCTAAACTTCCCTAATTACCGTCCCTACACCTAAATCGGAAATCCGGAAAGACAAAACCTAGAGACTTCGAAACAAGATTACACGATGATTAGTCACATATTTGCGTAATTAGCTTAGGGGAAAACTTCGGAGGAGGCTCATCTACGTTGAAGCATGAAGAAAACTGGAGAAACGATAGGGAAGAGCAACCTACCGGTGGCGATGGCGGCGACGACGAAGACCTTTGACGAGGAAGATACCTTCCGCCAGGTAACTCTTCTTGCTTCTCTCTTCGCCCTCTTGCTTTTCTTTTCTGTATTAATTTTTTGTTTCTTCTTCACCTCTTCACCTCTTCCCTTTTTGCTTTTCTGAAATCCTGTGTTGTTTGGTTATCAGGTCTGAGCGTTGTTGCTGTTGTGTATCGCGTTTATCAGTTGTGATGACTCCGTGTTGTTGTGTGATATCATTGAGTTGTAGTTGTTGCTCTGTGGATATGTGAGGAGATCGAGAGGAAGATTTTCAGAGAGGGTGATGAGAGTTGAGGAAGGTGAATGTAGAAGAAGGTGAGTGAGTTGGTTCTGGGATGGAGATGGTGATTGTGATGGTGAAATGGCTTCAGCTTACACCATCAGCTGGTCTTTGTTCTGTTTTTCTTGGTTGAGTCTCAGTTTTTATTTTATTGGCAGGATTTTGCTTACATCAACTTCAGAGGTATATGGGGATCCTCTTGAGCATCCTCAACTTGAAACCTATTGGGGAAATGTTAACCCTATTCGTACGTGTTTTTATGTCATTCTAACCTCTATTCGGTCTTAAATGAAATTATATCTGTTGCTACCGTTTATAAAGATAGCTGTACTAAATAAGCCTTTAAGTTCTATTATATTTAACTTGTATAAAATATAAATATCTTATTGTTTGATTTTTCTTTATACTGACATATGAAAATTAGTTATTGACTTAAGAAGCTAATATGAGAATGTGGCATAACTAAGACATTAATTTTGTCCAAAACAGGAGTTCTTAGTTGCTATGATGAAGGGAAACGTGTGGCTGAGACTTTGATGTTTGATTATCATAGACAACATGAAAAATTTACTTATGCTAGCCTATAAATAATCCACTCTTCGATTCTGATTACAATTTTGTCATAAAACACAGCTCAACAATATTTCAATTTTGTCCCTTCCTGCACATTTATGAGCATTCTGGTGAAACACTTTTCATGTGTTTGTATTGAACAATTTCAGCCAAGTTTTGAGAAGTGGTTGCTGCAATCCCATTGCCAGTTGTAGCAGCTGTTTATTGCGTCCTCTTTGCCTACGTCGGTATGAATGATCTATTCGTTATCGATAATTTCATATCAAATGAGTGATTTCAACGAAACTCATGTGAAATATATTTACAATACCAGTTTCATGCATTGCATTGCATTGTTTTGTTCCTTTAAAATGTCTAATCATTTGTGATTTGAATGTAATGTTTCTTCTGTGATGAACAACTTCTGTTGGACTTGGCTTTCTGCAATTCAACAATCTAAACAGCAACCAATCAATAGTCATTGTCGGCTTTTCTCTCTTCATCGGTCTATCTGTTCCACAATATTTCAATGAATATTTGGCCCTATCTAGACACGGCACGGTTCACACTGGCTCTACTTCAGTACGTACTCAAAATCTTACCAGAAAAATTTACTTATGCTAGCCTATAAATCATCCAATCTTTGATTCTGATTACAATTTTGTCATAAAACACAGTTCAACAATATAGTGCAAGTTATTTTCTCATCTCCAGCAACTGTGGCAATTATAGTTGCTTACTTATTGGATTCCACAACGAGCCTTGAAAAATGTACATATATGCTCTGTAAGATCGACAAGTCAGGTTGCTTGTCTGGAAAATCAGTCGATAATGAAGTTGAAGAAGAAATTCTCTTAGGCCATCCTGACTATGTTCTGGACCGTATTGATAACATCGATACGAAGGTATCCTTAGTTTTTCCCTTTTGGTCCTTATGATCTATAATAGCTTGTACACAAATGTATGATAGTTGTTTCTATAAATTTTCAGTCGCTTGATTTGATTTACGTAATAGGTGGCACTTCTTGCTCCATGTGTACGGAGGGGCTTAAAGGTTATATCTGCCACTGGGGATGGTGCTAGAACTGATCCAACAAGAATACACATTGCTGATCTAAGAGAATCTACTAATGATCCATTATCTCGATCGGTAAGACGGTAACATCCTTCTTATATGAGTCTTTTTTATTATATTTTATAGATCTTAAACTGTGTCAATTGAACCATGTGACTTTTCAATATCTCCATCTTTTTTGAACTTGTAGCTCTTTTTTGTATGCTGCATTGTTGACCTATCTTATGATTTGAAAGTGGTATGGTCATGTCTTTACAACCAAGACCTTTTGAACCTTCCTCCTCTGCCTCTCCTCTCCCTCTACTTTCAATAATCAAAGTTGGGAGGGGTATTTATTTAGTTTAGTGGAGTAAAGAGACAATGTTTCAGTGGAAAGCTTCACTATTTAGATTTAGTGATACAACAAAAATGTTTGAATATTCCAGTTAATCATCATATCAGTGAAGCGTGGTTAATACAATGAAGTTTGGGTGGGCATTTGTGAATTTTGCGTGATATAGCAACGTTGATGTCTTACATAAGCATTAGATTACATAAGCGTTGTTTAAGTATTACATAATTTTTTGATATAAACTGCGTTTACAATTTCTTTTTGGATGTCAAAAGATCGACACGGTACTTAATGGAATATCAAAGTCAGTACATGTTCAGTAAAACAGCTGAAATTGATGAAGATGATGTCATTGCTATGCTCCCCTGAAATTCATGCTCATCAGTTTGAGCCTTTGTAATTATCTGAGCAGTTGCTATTAATGTAAGCAGTAAGTTGCAGCAGGTTATTTATTTCATGAACTTCGTTTGTATTTGATTTTGAGCATCATTGCAGTATCTACAATGCCCACATGAGAGGCTGTGCTGTAATTTATTTCTACTGAACTTTTCCAACACTTCTTTTTTATATTTGTTGTCTCATGTGAGCACTATCATGCTCTTTTTTTTCCCAGATTGTCAATAGAATTAGTTCAAGAATTCAAAAAAAGGGACTTGTCTCAGAGAATAAGTTGTTGATATCTTGAAGAAATTTTACCTGTGGTAAACTTCACATGTGGTCCCATATACATTGCACACACTAATTGAAATGTTTACCAGCCTTGCAGTACTACTAATTGAAAAGTTAAACAAGCTTTTAGAATATATAAACAAAGCAATTGCTAACGAATGTCAAGCTGACTTCATCGGTGTGAAACGCCCATAATTGCTTACAATGTGGTGCAACAGTCAAGCATATGCAGTTTTAATGTTTTGAAGATAATCAATGAACCCTGCTGCAGCTATTGTATATGGCCTTGACAAGAGAACTAATTGTGTGGGAGAACGGAATATTTTTGTCTTCGACCTTGGTGGTGGGACTTTTGATGTGTCTCTTCTTACTATTAAGGATAAGGTCTTCCAGGTTAAGGCTACTGCAGGAAACACTCACCTTGGAGGAGAGGACTTTGATAATAGAATGGTGAACTATTTTGTAGAGGAGATCAAAAGGAAGAAAAAGTTAGACATTGTTGGTAACCCGAAAGCCTTGAGGAGACTGAGAACAATGTTGATCTAAATGGTATTTTAACAGTTTCCTTTGGTTAGAGTATCTTTGTTAAAGACCAAAAAAAAGTGTTAAACTCACATCAATAAAAAAATTATGATTGAAAAGTGTTTTTTACTGGTAGTTTATAATTTTTATTATTAACTTGTACCTTTTCTTCTTCTAACTTCTAATTTATTACCTTTTCTTTTATTTGTATCGTTATTATTTTAATAAAAATTTATTGTCCTCCTTTATATTTTATTGTAGTTTAAAATAAAATAAATATGTAATAATAATATTATGATTTTATTGTAGAATGTTAAACAATAAATTTATTTTTATTATTATTTTAAATTAATATAACTATATTCAAAATTACAATGCTATAATTTTATGTATTTTGTTAAATTTCATTACAAATTTATATAAACATTTAATATATTTAGGTCCCTTATAATCTTTGAGGGAATATCTCACCCACTTCAACGAAACAATAACCAAGGTAATCCATTCGAACTAAAAATATATTTTGAGGAGCATTTTAGAATGGACTCATTGCGAAACATTTCAAGGAATCCCTCATCCAAAGGTCAACAACGTTCTTGGCTGAAATAGTAACATGAGCAAAATGCTATATAAAGGACAATGAAAACAAGGCCCGAGAATCAAAGAAACGCACTTCTAATAGAGGCAGCTCATAAAAGAAACCAATATGCTATCATTCAAAAAGGACAAAACAACATTCAAGCGAAATGGAAAATATGTTGAGAGCTTTACGCTTCTAAACACTCGTTGAAAACAGATGTTAGGAAAAGTTTTTCACATGCGCAACATTCCTCAACTACCACCACCGAAGGCTGACATCATGGAGCCTGAGCCTAATCGTTGGTGTAAGTTTCATAAGGTCAAAGGGTATCATACTAATGTCTTAAACTCAAGAATGATATCAAATGCCTAATCTAGGATGGACACTTAAAAGAATTATGTTAATCATAGCCTCGACGGAAGATTAACGCATATGTAAAACAATTTTGATAAAATAATTTTTTTTATTTAAAATATGTATTTCTTTAAAAAATAATAAATTATTTTGATAAAATAAATTTATTTTTCTTATTTACATTTTAATTACTTTTTAAAAATAAAAGTGTGCATATCAATCACATCTTTTTACTAAATCAATAATATATTTTTTTACATTAAATCAATAATATTTGTTCAACTAAATCAATTACTACATTTTTTCTAAAATTTATGATTGCTTAATTATATTAACACTACATGTTATCGATTGTCAACAAATTATATTTGAGAATGACAAATATGTTTTTTTAAACATAGAGATTCAAACATCATTTCAATAATTTAATTTTAACGGAAACATAAATTTATTGATCAAAATATTAAATTTTAACGGGAACATGAATTTACTGATCAAAATATTAAATATTAACGGGAACATGAAGTTACTGATCAAAATATTGAATATTAATGGTTGAAGTTACTGATCAAAATATTGAATATTAACGGAAACATGAAGTTAGTGATCAAAATATTAAATATTAACGGGAACATGAAGTTACAGATAAAAATATTGAATATTAACGGGAACATAAAATTACTGATAAAAATATTGAATATTAACGGGAACATGAAGTTAGTGATCAAAATATTGAATATTAACGAGAATATGAAGTTAGTGATAAAATTATTGAATATTAACGGGAACATGAAGTTATTGATAAAAATATTAGATATTAAAGAGAATATAAAGTTATTGATCAAAATATCTAATATTAATGAGAACATGAAGTTATTGATCAAAATATTGAATATTAACGGGAACATGAAGTTGCTGATTAAAATATTGAATATTAACGGGAAGATAAAGTTACTGATCAAAACATTGAATATTAACGGGAACATGAAGTTACTGATAAAAAACTTTGAATATTATTGTGAACATGGAGTTAGTGACCAAAATATTGAATATTAACGTGAACATGAAGTTACTAAACAAATTATTTAATATTAACGAAAACATAAAATTATTGATCAAAATATTGAATATTAATATAACAACTTTATTATCGGTTTAAATATTTTTTACTAAATATTCTGGACTGGGCCCGTCCTGGCCCAAGAGCAAGAACGAAGGCCCAATCCAAGCAACTCTTCAAGGAGCGCGCGCCCAAAGATTCCCGCCAGCGCGTCGACCAGAAGCTGCAGCCGTGCCCGCCGCTGCCCGCGAACATGACGTCCTCGACCACATGAAATCCAGCTCGAGCCCAACCCGAGCACCCTCCTCGTAGGGCAGACTATGACCGTTACTCCATCACCTGAACTCCGGAAAGACCGCGTCCTCGTCCCTCCGTACTTCTCGCAGAGCATCACCAGGAAGGGGACCACATGCGGGTCCCCACTACACACGTAGAACCTGACAGTTCCTTTATTGGGCCAGTCCTGGTCGGCCCAATGAAGGAACCTTGGCCCCGCGCTGGGTGCTATAAATACCCACTATTCCTTGAGGGTCAGGTATTCATTCTTTTACCCATACACACACTTTTTGCCTGCTCGTACCATCACTCACTTTAGCATCGGAGTGCCTTGCAGGTACCCCCCCCATCTTGTTCAACTTTCGCTCGGAGCCAGTCGTGACGGTCCAAGTCTGATCCGGTAAGATCAGTGGCGCCGTCTGTGGGAATCTTCGGGCGCGCGCTCCTTGAAGAGTTGCTTGGATTGGGCCTTCGTTCTTGCTCTTGGGCCAGGACGGGCCCAATCCAGAACAGGAGCCCCCCAAGTCGTGGCTCCTGGAGCAGGAGTTATGACTTGATCTCATCTCGTCTTTGTCACGGGGCCTTATGCTCGACCAGGATATTTGCTTCCCCGTGGTTGCTCAAGGAGTTTCTCATGTGTTGCGTTCGTGAGATAATCCCTTTCGAGGCGTGCTCGGGGGACTCTTTGAGGGTTGTGCTCGTTGAGTATACGAGGCAACCCTTGGGAACCGTGACGCCACCCTAGTGAAAGTAGAGTCATCATTGCCTAGGGGAGTAGACGTCGAGGAGGGAAAGCTCGTGGTTCCCCGGGGTGACGTTTCGTATTCCACGTCATCCCTATAAATAGGATCGTTGGGTTCCATAATCTGTTTTTCCTCTTCGCGCTTCTCCTCCTTCCTCTGCCTTTGCCGCCGCTGTTTTTCCAGAATTTCATAGGACCACCGTGCTTTCCGCCGTCGATTTTCTTCCCTGCCGCCGTACATCCTTCCTAACTTCCAAGTAAGCGTTTTATCCCTCATATTTTTCTCCGTGGTAGGTGATTTTTTCCGCTATTTGTATGTTAGAAATCCGCATCTGGGATTAGTGCTCGGTACATTCATGTTCATGCCCGGTATGTTCATGTTTTTGCCCAGTAAACGCATGTTTGTGCCCGGTGAACACATAGCTTTAGGTATGTGATTTGCGATGCTGCCCGGGATCTTCATGGTTTTGGGCGCATAACTTATGATATTGCCCGGTAAACCCATAGTTCTAGGTTTAGGATTCATGATATTGCTCGTCATATCCATAGTTTAGGTCGACGTACTCATGACTGGCCGGGATGTTGGCCCATTTAGGTAGTAGGTAGGATGACTCGTCGCGGCACCTTGGCGTCGGGGAGGTGAAACCAGACTCTTGTTCGAGTCCTCAATGTTTTGACGTGCGCGGAGTATGACTTGGCGAGCGTATGGACTTGCTCTCGAATTGACCGGTTTCCTGTGCTTTGCAGGTAAAATGGCTGATGAATCGGAGTCCTCGGGGCGCAACGAGGTCGAAGACCAGAGTGCCGAGGAAAATGTAACTCTGATTGATACCGTTGATGATCCTTTGATGGATTGGGTGGGCAGCGAGCCCAGAGGGATTGCCTCGACATATAGTCAGCGCAGTCGGAGCGCCTACACTATCGTCGAACACGGCGGTAGCCAGCCGGGCTTCTAGAAAAACTTTGTGGTCACCAGACCGTCTCTTGACGCGCGGATATGCTCGGAGTTCTCTAAGTATGGGTTTCCCATGTATGAAATCGCATTCAAGGACCTTGGTCTCAAGCTCCCCTTTAGTGATTTCCAGGTCGGGGTATTCAGTCACCTGGAGTTGGCCCCCTCGCAGCTTCACCCCAAATCGATTGCCTTTCTTCGGGCGTTCGTGTTGACGTGTCGCTTTTTAAGGATTGGGGCGACCATCCCTCTCTTCTCCATAGTCTTTCATTTGCAACGCCAGTCTCGGGGAGTTAGGCACAGTTGGGTTTCCCTGATACAGTCGAAGAGGCTGTTCAGGATGTACATGGATTATGTCCGGGGTTTCAAGGACAAATGGTATGTCGTGCGGCCGATCACCCAGACTGCTCTGGATTCTGTATATGAAGAAGAGACTGCAGTGACCGATGATAACGGGGAGCCTCTTATGGACGATGAGGGTCTCCCGGTGTTGGGGCGCGTAGCTAAGTTCCCATTGCATTGGAGCTCGCGCCACTATGAGCATGGTACTGGGCATTACCATACGCCCGCGGGAGGGATGTGTACCGAGGACGAGGAAGCCTACGGTACCCTTTAAAGATATGTCGACAGTTTCTTCCCTGCCCGGTGGGCCACGAGGGAGGGAAAGGACATTCTCGACGAGGATGGTTACCCGACCTTCGAGGCCCGTCCTATAGATACCAAGGCGCTTGTGGAGTGCCAGTCCTACGGGCAGGCAGCGAACCTACTAGGTTACTTTTTGTCTTATAGTTTTGTTCTAGTTTCTTCATTCGTTACTTGCTCGAAACTAACCCGAGCTTTCTTTTTTGCAGGTCATATGGCCGGACGAAAGGAGAGGCTTCTAAAATTGACACAGGATAAGAAAGTCAACAAAAGGATGGTGCGAGCTCCCCAGGCGACGAGGATGGGCCCGCCAACTAGTTCAGGTGATGCTTCTGGCGGGTCCCCGGACTCCCAGGACATCGAGCATCATATTGATCTGATACCGAGGAAGATAAACCGGGTAGGGAGCCAGCCGGAA